GATCTGCAAGCCAAGATAGCTGCGCAGCTCACCCAGGTCAGTGCAGGTATGTCTCTTCTCTGAAGCCTCGAGCAACGTAACGCGCCTTGAAGGCAGGCGGAGAACCCAGCGGCCGCTTCACCCTGAAAATCCACATGCCATCGACTATGTTCGCCCCAGGTGGGGGAACCTCGTCGACGTAGGTGCCTGTGGACTTCAAGGATGCCATCTCGGCATCCATGGCTGCCTGCCACTGAGAGGAGTAAGGACCCGTAATCGCCTCTGCGTAAGAGCGCGGGGTCGGGATGTCTGGTGCATCCGGGTCTCCCTTAGGCGCAAGCAGCATGGAAGCAAAACGAGGTACAGCAGCTGCAAGACACTCAAAGTCCTCCTGCCTGTCCTCAAGAACGTCCGTGCCAAGCGCACACTCACCCTCGACGGAAGGAGGACTGGCAGACGCAGACTCAGCAACAAAAGCAGTGGCGTAGTCTAGACGGCAGGCAGCAGCAAAGTCAAGCAGCTCAGCAACGAGAGCAGACGCAGCAGCAGACTCAAAAGAAGGGTCAGTGACCGCACTGGCTAGGAGACAAGAGACCGTGGGACTGGCAGCACAAGCGCGGTCAGACTCAGGGTCAGGGACCTCAAGAAGAGAGGACTCAGGAGGAGCAGACAGAGGAACACGCATTGGAACAGAGGAAGGACGGAGTGCCATAGCGTGTGTGCTAAGGACACGAGGAGGACGCGAACGGGGAACGCGATGAGCAGTGCGAACAGGCGAGACAGGACAAGACGCAGGCTCACGACGCTCTGTAAGACCGCCGGACTGCTCAGTGTAAGGAGAAGGAGCAGGCAGTGGGGAGGCTGACAGTAACGGCGGTGCGACTGGTCAGGCGGTGGACACATGAGGGGAAGAGTAAGGCTAGTAGAAGACGGGACACCAAGAACCTGCTGAAGCAGAAGAACAAAGTACGATTGCGACCGCACAGTGCCTACATCACCTCCAGCTCCAGGGTCAACAGCTCCAGCTCCTGCAGCTCCAGCGCCTCCCGCGCCAGTGCCTCCAACTCCAGCTCCTCCAGCTCCAGCGCCTCCAGCACCAGCGCCACCAGCGCAAGAGCCTCCACCTGCAGCAGCTCCAGGCTCCGTAGGGTCTCCAGCTCCAGCACCCCCAACACCACCAGTCCCGGCAGCTCCAGCACCCCTGGTACGAGCAACTCCAGGACCAGCAGCCGCAGTACCTCCAGTACCACCAGCTCCAGCAGTAACTCCAGCACCTCCAGCTCCAGCGTCTCCAGCGCCTCCAGTTCTGGTATCTCTACTCTGAAGGCGTGCGCGCCGAACAAGCCACTCACGCAGCTGCTCCGGAGACAGTCGCGGCGAAGCACCAGCAGGACCTCCAGACGAAGCAGCACCCCGAGGCTCAGCACCCCCAGACTCCACACCCTCCAACTCTGCACCCCCAGGCTCAACACCCGCAGGTTCAGCACCCCCAGACCCAGCACCCTCAGACTCCGCACCCCCCGGCTCCGCACCCCCAGGCTCCACACCCCCAGACGCAGCACCTTGAGCAGCACTTGAGCCGACAGCTACCTCGACACGCGCAGTACCAGGGAGAGGGTCTACCTGAGACACACCTGAGGGAGCAGGACCCTGGGGCGGGAGGGGGTCTATCGGAGGGGGGCTGGGAGCAAGGAAGAGCGGCGTGTCAGATGTATATGCCTTAGCCTATGTAGGCTGTAGTGGGGTAGACACTAAGGGGTACAGGTTTTATATTTGTATCTCACACTTTCCTAGTTCATTCATTCCTGTTTAATTCTTCACATGGTATAGAGCGGGTTCCCTCATGGGACCGTTCCTTCCTAAGGGCCCACCATAAGCAACTTTTTTTTTAGCTGCCCGAAGCGTGTCTCGCGCCCTGCCCTATTTTTTTTTTTTTTTTTTTTTCGCGGCCCCCTAGCGGCCCCTAACGGCCCCTATGCGATCCCTACGCCGCCCCTAAACGGCCCCGTCGCGGCCCCTTACCTGACGCGGCCCCGTCCCTGACGCGGCCCCGCCCCTACCTGGCCCCTACGCGGCCCCTACGCGGCCCCTACGCGGCCCCTACGCGGCCCCTACGCGGCCCCTACGCGGCCCCTACCCGGCCCCTACGCGGCCCCTACGCGGCCCCTACCCGGCCCCTATGCGGCCCCCTGCGCGGCCCCCTACGCGGCCCCTCAGCGGCCCGTACGCCGCCCCTACACGGCCTGACCCGGCCCCGTCCCTGACGCGGCCCCTACGCCGCCCCTACGCGGCTCCTACGCGGCCCCTAAACGGCCCGACCCGGCCCCATACCTGACGCGGCCCCTACGCCGCCCCAAAAAGGCCCCGTCCCGGCACTACCCCGGCCCCGTCTCGGCCCCGTCCCGGACCTGCCCCGGCCTCGACTCCCTCCCGGACCTGCCTTTACCTCGGCCCCGTCCCGGACCTGCCCCGGCCCCGACCCCGTCCCGGACCTGCCCCGGCCCCGACCCTGTCCCGGCCCCGTTGCTGCCCCGTCCCGGACCCTGCTCGGCCCCGACCCTGTCCCGGACCTGCCCCGGCCCTGACCCTGTCCCGGCCCCGTTGCTGCCCCGTCCCGGACCCTGCTCGGCCCCGACCCTGTCCCGGCCCTGTCACGGCCCCGACCCAGTCCCGGACCTGTCGGCTCCGCCCCTGGTAAGAGCCTAGCCGGGCCGAGCCGCGCGGCCGAGCCGCACTGCTTTGCCGAGTCGCCCTGCCGAGTCGCACTGTCCTGCCTCGCTCAGTTGCACTGCTGCCGCTGCTAGTCTGCTGCTGCTCCTATCATGGCTAGTCCTAGTCTTCTCACCTTTGATGCTGAGGGTCGAGCGGTTGACTTTGATGTCTGGCTAGATGATCTGCAGCTTTTCCTTCAGTGCGATAGCAAGGATGGTCTCTCCCTGTTTGATCTTACTTCGGGCGCCTCTACTGCCCCTGCTGCTGATGCTGACAGTACCGTTCGCTCGCAGTGGCTCACGCGCGATGCTGCTGCCCGCCTTGCTGTGCGTAGTCACCTACCGTCTACTGAGCGCGCGCACTTTAGTCAGTACAAGAGTGCTAAGACTCTGTACGACGCAGTAGTTGCACGTTACTCTTCCCCTGCCACTGCTGCGCTTAGCCGCCTCATGCTACAGTACCTGTTCACTGACCTCATTACGCACCTCCGCACTAGTGACACTCGCTACCGGGCTGCGCTTCCTGCTGAGTTCTGCGCCCAGAACCCCCCCCCCATGTACATCACCCTCTACTACCTAGTCACTCGACTCCCTGACACTCTCCGCTCGGTCAGGGACCACTTCCTCTCTCTTTGCCCTACCACCCTCACTGTCGACCTCCTCGAGGAGCGCCTCCTTGCAGCAGAGACTAGTATCACCGCTGTAGGCGCCTCTCGTGGTGACCCCCGTACCCCTTTCTTTGAGGGGTGCTCCCCCGTTCCTCTTTTGCCCTCTGTTGCCTCTGCTGCTGCTGTCGACCTTGTTGGCACCGAGTCGGTCAGCGCTGCGTCTGCTCCTAGTGAGAGGCGCCGCATCAGCAAGGTCAAGCGGGGCAAGGGAGCTGGAGGAGGTGGTGGGGGCGGCGGTAGTGGCGGTGGAGGCGGAGGAGGGGGTGGGGGTGGGGGTGGTGGTAGAGGTGGGGGCTTCGGTGGCGGCGGTGGAGGTGGAGGCGGCGGTGGCGGTGGCGGGAGGGGTGGAGGAGGCGGAGGCGGCGGCGGCGGAGGTGGAGCTGGCAGAGGCGGAGCTGTGCAGCGGGGACCCCAGCAGCAGCAGCGCTCTCGTGAGACCCCTTCGCCTTAGCAGCTTCGTGAGTGGTACGCGGGGCGCCAGGGGTCTGGGGGTGCTGGTCCCTGTACTTACGTCCTGCGCACCGGTGACCGCACTGGAGAGCAGTGTGGCGGCCTGCACGCCACCCAGCGCTGCTTCAGTCGCCTGACGGACGCCTGGCGTGCCCAGTTCCCGGACGCCACTGAGATCCCTCGCTGGGGAGATCTGCTCAGGTCGGGGGTAGCTATCTTTGATCTTGACTTTGATGCTATTCTTGCTGCCATGTATGCTGTGTCTATTAGTGCTGAGGGTGACTGTTACGTGTGTGTTCCGCCTGACCCTGGTATTGAGGCTGCTGCTCTAGGTGCTAGTGAGTCTGCTGCTCCAGGTACTCGTGAGTCTGCTACTCTAGGTGCTGGTGAGTCTGCTCTCTCAGGTACCGAGTCGGCTCAGGTCTTTCACACCTTCACCCTCGACTCGGGTGCTTCCCGCTCCTTCTTTCGAGACCGCACCACCCTTACGCCGCTCAGTCGGCCGGTTGCGGTCTCCCTGGCAGACCCCTCTGGGGGTCCTGTCCTTGCTCGCTACTCCACTGTCCTCCCGTGTCCGGCGGCCCCGTCAGGCTCCCTGTCTGGTCTCTACCTCCCCTCGTTCTCCACGAACTTGGTGAGTGGTGCTGACCTTCAGGATGCCGGAGTTGACCAGTTCACTCCTGCAGGTCAGCGAGTGACCCACTGCACGTGTGCTCAGTGTCACGAGACGAACTTAGCTAGGAACGGGTTTAACTAAGGGCCTAGGCTTAGTAGCCTAGGCCAAGCGGGTGTCGAGGGAGTTGTGCCAAGAGAATCGAGAATGGGTTATGTTCACTATAGAACCAAAGGTACAAATAGCAAACTAACAAGGGTGCACCACCAATGTTTCAAAGGCATAACTACACTAAAGCTAACGCTACAGGCAGTTATACATATATATAAAATATATAACGCAACACACCCCCTTAACTGCCTCCAGCACATAGCTAGAGTAAGTCACACCCCCTGAAGGGGTAGAGCAGGCGAAGTGGAAGACGGCAAAGGGGTACGCGAGGAGGAGGAGGCGAGAGGGAGAGGGGAGGGGAGAGGAGATAAGAACGCAGGAGGAGGTGAGTGAGGGATGAGGAGAGGAGGTGGGGGGGTAGCCGCGGCGTCCCCTCTTACTAACCCCCTTTTACGAAGGGGGAGGTGAATGAGGGATGAGGAGAGGAGGTGGGGGGGTAGCCGCGGCGATCCCCTCTTACTAACCCCCACATCCCCACCCTCAATCAACCACCCCCCCTCAACCTCACTCCCCATTTCAGCCGCCCCCTGGAACCGCACCCCCTCCCCCCCTTCCTTCCTCCAGCCCCTGCCCCACCCACAGTAGTCTCTGCACTGTCCTTCACACGGCAGCCAGCCCCCCCACCCCCCCGTCCCCGCCACCTCCCCCCCACAACAGCAGCCGCGGGAGGGGAGAGGCAGGGCAGGGGGTGGTGCTGCAGTGACTCAAGGCGGCCACCATTTCCACGCCACCCCCGTCCTGCCGTCACCCCCTTCCCCCCTTCCTCCCCCACACAGCGACTGCCGCTGCAAACGCGCAGGGGCGGGACGGGTGGGGAAGCGCAGGGAGGTCACAGCGCTGGTGGCGGAACTGGCGCTGGTGACTGGCGTCGATGCTGGTGCTGGCGGCTGGCGCTGGAGCTGGTGCCTGGTGCTGGCGTGACGGCGCTGGTGCCTGGTGCTGGCGTGACGGCGCTGATGCCTAGTGCTGGCGACTGGCGCTGGGGCTGGTTCCTGGTGCTGGCGGCTGGCGCTGGGGCTGGTTCCTGGTGCTGGCGGCTGGCGCTGGGGCTGGTTCCTGGTGCTGGCGGCTGGCGCTGGGGCTGGTTCCTGGTGCTGGCGGCTGGCGCTGGTGCTGGTTCCTGGTGCTGGCGGCTGGAGCTGGGGCTGGTTCCTGGTGCTGGCGGCTAGCGCTGGGGCTGGTTCCTGGTGCTGGCGGCTGGCACTGGGGCTGGTTCCTGGTGCTGGCGGCTGGCGCTGGGGCTGGTGCCTGGTGCTGGCGGCTGGCGCTGGTGCTGGTTCCTGGTGCTGGCGGCAGGCGCTGGTGCTGGTTCCTGGTGCTGGCAGCTGGCGCTGGTGCTGGTTCCTGGTGCTGGCGGCTGGCGGCTGGGGCTGGTGCCTGGTGCCTGGTGCTGGCGGCTGGCACTAGTGCTGGTGCTGGTGCCTGGTGCTGGCGGCTGGTGCCTGGTGCTGGCGGCTGGCGCTGGCGCTAGTGCCTTGTGCTGGCGGCTGGCGCTGGTGCCTGGTGCTGGCGGCTGGCGCTGGTGCTGTTCCGCCGCCACTCCCTTCCCCTCCTCTCTCTCCTTTCCACAGCGTCCCGCCGCCACTCCCTTCCCCTCCTCCCTCTCCTCCCCATGGCGACCGCCGCTGCACACGCAGACAGTCGCGACGGGGGGGGGGGGGGTGACGGGCAGGGGGCGGGGGGAATGCGACGGGGAGAGCGGGCGAATGAGCGGCTGGGGCGATCGCCAGTGCTTTGGCGATCGTCGCTGGCGTTCCCCCGTCACTCCTATCCCCTCTTCCCTCTCGCCCCCACAGAGTTCCGCCGCCACTCCCATCCCTTCTTCCCTCTCCCCCCCACAGCGACCGCCGGTGCGACGGGCGAGGTGCAAGGTGGCGCTGGCTGCAGTCGATGGCGCAAACGCGATCGCGGGCCGCTGGCGACTTCGCTGGCGACTTCGCTGGTGGGTCGCTGGCGGCGGGTCCGCTGGCGTTCGCCATAGCGTCCGCCGCGCCCGTCGCGCTGAGAGCCGCGACGAGGCAGGCGACGGAGGGCAGCGCGAGCAGCAGGGAAAAAAAAAAGATACGCAAGGTGCGGATTTCGCGCCACTAACTGTAGCAGTCGCGAAATGTGGTGGGCCCATAAACGAAATAGGTCCTAGGACGGACCACTCTGTTACCATGTCACGAGACGAACTTAGCTAGGAACGGGTTTAACTAAGGGCCTAGGCTTAGTAGCCTAGGCCAAGCGGGTGTCGAGGGAGTTGTGCCAAGAGAATCGAGAATGGGTTATGTTCACTATAGAACCAAAGGTACAAATAGCAAACTAACAAGGGTGCACCACCAATGTTTCAAAGGCATAACTACACTAAAGCTAACGCTACAGGCAGTTATACATATATATAAAATATATAACGCAACACTCAGACACTTGGCCTCGTTTATCCGTCGACCGGGGTCGAGCCTGTACACACTGACCACAGAGTCTCCTCCGGTTGCTGCGTCTGGTCAGGTAGCTGCGTCGAGTCAGGTGTTTGCTGCAGCGTCTCGGTCAGGTCCTCAGTCTGCCCCCTGCTCGTGTCGCCTCCTGTCCCACCAGACCCTCCTCTGGCACCACCGCCTTGGTCACCCCTCCTTGCCTCGTCTCCGAGGCATGGCCTCCCGTGTCCTTGTCTCTGGTCTCCCCCGGTCCCTCCCTCCCCTTCCCCCGGGGCCTGCCCCTACCTGCGTTCCCTGCGTCGAGGGGCGGCAGCGCGCCGCTCCTCACTCCTCCGAGTTTCCCCCGACAGAGGCTCCGCTGCAGACTCTTCACATGGACGTGTGGGGCCCAGCCCGCGTCCGTGGACAGGGTCACGAGCGTTACTTCCTGCTGGTGGTTGACGACTACTCGCGTTACACCACTGTCTTCCCCTTGCGCAGCAAGGGTGAGGTCACTGAGGTGTTGATCGACTGGATCCGCGTTGCTCGTCTCCAGCTCAGAGAGCGTTTCGGCTCGGACTTTCCTGTTCTGCGTCTGCACTCCGACAGAGGCGGAGAGTTTTCCTCCGACCTTCTGCGAGCCTTCTGTCGTGCGGAGGGCATCCGCCAGACGTTCACGCTTCCGGCCTCTCCACAGCAAAATGGGATTGCTGAGCGCCGCATTGACATGGTCATGGATGTCGCTCGTACGTCCATGATCCATGCGGCTGCTCCCCATTTTCTGTGGCCGTTCGCGGTTCAGTACGCGGCGCATCAGATCAACCTTCAGCCCCGGGCCTCCCTGCCGGAGACCTCCCCTACTCTGCGGTGGACGGGGAAGGTTGGTGATGCGTCTGCGTTCCGTGTCTGGGGATCTCGAGCTTTCGTCCGAGACTTGTCTGCGGACAAGCTGTCCTCCCGTGCTGTTCCTTGCGTCTTCCTCGGCTTTCCCCCTGACGCGCCTGGTTGGCAGTTTTACCACCCCACCTCGCGTCGTGTTCTGTCCTCCCAGGACGTCACGTTTGACGAGTCGGTTCTGTACTACCGTCTCTTCCCCTACCGCACTGCCCCCCTCCCCCCCCCGCCGCTCTTCCTCGCTCCCGGTCCCCCCCCGGTAGACCCCCTCCCCCCTCAGGGTCCTGCCCCCTCAGGTGTGTCCCAGGTAGATGCAGTCGAGCCTGTCGAGGTAGCTGCTGACTCTGGTGCGTCTGGGGGTGCTGAGCCTGAGCGTGCGGAGCCTGGGGGTGCTGGGTCTGGGGGTGCTGAGCCTGAGCGTGCGGAGCCTGGGGGTGCTGGGTCTGGGGGTGCTGAGCCTGAGCGTGCGGGGCCTGGGGGTGCTGCTTCTGGGGTTGCTGAGCCTGGGGCTGCTGGGAGTGGGGGTGTGGAGCCTGTCGGTGCTGGACCTGGCGGTCCTTCGGGTGCTTTGTCCCGGCAAGAGCTTCCCTCTCCACAGGAGCTGCGCGAGTGGTTTGCTCGCCGCTGGAGCCGTGCTGCTAGAGCTGGAGGTGCTGCCGGTGCTGGAGGTTCTGCTGCTACTGGAGGTTCTGGAGCTGGAGGTGCTGCTGGAGACGGTACTGGAGGTTCTGCTTCTGCTGGGGGTGCTGGAGACACGGGTCCCGGAGGTGCTCGTACTGGAGGTACTGGAGCTGCTGGGCCTGGTGGTGCTCCTGGTGCTGGAGCTACTGGTGGAGCTGGAGCTGGTGGTGCTGCTGGAGTGGGTGCTACTGGAGGTACTGGAGCCGGAGCGGCTGTGTCTGCTGGTGGTCCTGCTGGAGCTGGAGCTGCTGGAGGTACTGGAGCTGGTGGTGCTGCTGGAGTTGGAGCTGACGCTGGGGGTACTGGTGTTGTCCCTGCTTGTTCTGGAGGTGCTGCGCGGCCGCGGCCATACTTCGTTCCGCTCCTTGAGCAGGTTCTTGGTCTTCCGCCTTCTCCTAGTCCTCCTCCTTCCTTAGAGTGTCCTCCGCCTGTCCAGTCCGGGTCACAGTTACAGCTGGTCTCCCCTCTGCCTGCTCCTTCTCCCTACGCTGGTCCTACTGGAGGTCTTGCTGAGCGTCGTGAGCCTGAGTCGCGTCCTGCGTCGCCTGTTCGCACTGCTCGCACTAGTCGTCGTGTTCCACGTCCGCGTCCTCCTGCAGTCCCGGGCACGCATCAGATGGCACTGCGTCCTTCCACTGCGCCACAGCGTGTCCCTTTGCCGTCTCCTCCAGAGTCCTCTCTTCCTGCTCTTGCTAACCCGGCGTCTGACTCCCTTCGTGCTTCCAGTCCTACTGTCACGCGTTTCCTAGCAACTGTTGTCACTGACCCTTCCTTTGAGTCCACTGCTGCGTCTGCCTTAGTTGCCGAGCTTGTCGACTTCGCTGCTCACTGTCGTCTAGACTACACCGCTAGTCTTGTTGCTGAGTCTGCGTCTGTCTGTCCTCCGTCCGTCGGGGGTGAGTGTGCTCTTAGCACGGACGTCCTTGAGGACCGACAGGAGGAGTTCCAGTGTTTTGCTGTTGCTTTACCTCATCTCGTGTCCACGCTGCTTGCCCCTGAGGGAGACCCGGATGCACCAGACATCCCGACCCCGCGCTCTTACGCAGAGGCGATAGAGGGTCCTTACTCCTCTCAGTGGCAGGCAGCCATGGACGCAGAGATGGCTTCCTGGAAGTCCACAGGCACCTACGTCGACGAGGTTCCCCCACCTGGGGCGAACATTGTCAGTGGCATGTGGATTTTCAGGGTGAAGCGGCCGCCGGGTTCTCCGCCTGTCTTCAAGGCGCGTTACGTGGCTCGAGGCTTCAGTCAGCGGCAGGGAGTTGACTTCTTCCAGACCTTCTCCCCGACCCCGAAGATGACCACTCTTCGGGTTCTGCTGTACGTTGCTGCTCAGCGTGACTACGAGCTTCACTCCCTTGACTTCAGCACTGCTTTCCTACAGGGCAGTCTGCACGAGGAGATCTGGCTGCGCCGCCCACCTGGCTTCACTGGGTCGTTTCCTGCTGGTACCCAGTGGAGCCTCCGGCGGCCAGACTACGGTCTCCGCCAGGTGCCACGTGAGTGGCACGACACACTGAGGACTATGCTTGCGGCTCTTGGGTTTGCTCCTTCCACTGCTGACCCGTCGCTGTTTCTTCGCACCGACACTTTGCTGCCGCCGTTCTACATCCTCGTGTACGTCGACGACTTGGTGTTTGCTACAGCTGACACTGCTGGACTCGCCCACGTGAAGTCCGAGCTGCAGAAGAGACACACGTGCACAGACCTGGGTGAACTGCGCAGCTATCTTGGCTTGCAGATCACCCGGGACAGAGCACGGCGCACCATTACTCTGACTCAGTCACACATGGTGCAGCAGGTCCTTCAGCGCTTCGACTTCACGTACTCCTCGCCTCAGGCCACTCCTCTGTCTACTCGCCACTCGCTCTCAGCTCTGCCTTCGGATGAGTCCGTAGAGCCGAGTGGCCCGTACCCAGAGCTTGTTGGCTGCCTCATGTACCTGATGACCTGCACTCGACCTGACCTAGCATACCCGCTGAGCATCTTGGCACACTATGTTGCTCCTGGGAGACACCGACCAGAGCACATGGCTGCAGCGAAGAGGGTGTTGCGCTACTTGTGCAGTACTTCGGGCTTGGGGCTAGTGCTTGGAGGGCGGAGTTCAGTGGTCCTCACTGGTCACGCAGACGCGTCTTGGGTTGACGACCTGGCTACTCAGCGGTCGTCACAGGGTTACACCTTCAGCCTTGGTTCCGGCTCTGTTTCGTGGCGGTCTACTCGCTCGTCTTCTGTTCTCAGCTCCAGCTGTGAGGCTGAGATCTACGCAGGGGCCATGGCTGCACAGGAGTTACGCTGGCTCACCTACTTGCTGACTGACCTGGGAGAGCCGCCTCGTTCTCCTCCAGTTCTGTACGTAGACAACAAGGCTATGCTGGCCTTGTGTCGGGAGCACAGACTGGAGCACAGAACGAAGCACATTGCTCTTCGCTACTTCCTTGCTCGTGAGCTGCAGCAGCGTGGTCAGCTGCGCCTTGCTTACGTGGCCTCTCAGGCCAAC